GCCCCTCCTCATCTTCCTCGACCCAGTGGGCCAGACAGGCACGCTCATCTCAAGATGACGACTGGGACTGGTGGCAGCAGTGGTCCTGGCACAGTTACTCTCAGCAGTGGCCAAAAGGTCATGACCAGTGAGGGCAGGAATATGTCACAGACTCTTTGATCCCTTATGTCACAGACTCAGGGAATTCGGCACTCTTCCGACGCTTAGCAAATCTCTTCGGAAGCCTGTGAACCGCGTGCTTACCTCGCTTAAAACAGCACTTCGCTCTTCAGCGAGTTGCCACGTCCAAGCTGCCCAAAGCCTCACTCCACCGGAGTTGTTTTCAGGTACATGCGGTCATGAGCACATGACCCTTACGGCCTTCTGTCTTCAACATGAGTAATCCGTGTGGGACGCCACGAGACGGATACTCCAGGTGTCGGCTTCGTCCGAGGTACGGCCTAATTGTTGAGACAGGTGCACAGATGGACGCGTCTGTTCACACCAAGGTGTCGGAGGAGGAAGCTTTTGTAGCAGTAGTCTGTCAAGTTCGAGCTGATTAGAGAGATCTGAGCGATGCATGCTAGAAGCAGTTTCACGAGTGCACGAGACCAAAGGCGCCCGCAAAGCGCAGAGCACGCTCGCGCAGCGTTCAATTGAAAAATAGTAGTAGCAGCAGCAGGAGTAGGAGTAGGAATAATAGCAGGAGTAGTGGGGGTAGGAGTAGAGGTACGAGTAGCCGTAGCCGGTCTCAGGAGCAGGAGCTGGAGCAGGAGCAGGAGCAGCAGCAGTACTGATATTAGCAGCAGTAGTATTGGTAGTAATCGTAGTAGTACCAGAACGAGAAGCAGCAGCAGCTGTAGGTGTAGTAGAAGTACTAGCTAAGTAATAGCAGTAGTCGTTGGAAGCAGCCTTTCCCAGACCTCGAAACTCTTGGCAAACACATCTCGAAGCCTTTGCACGCTTCACTGGAACTGGCAGCAGGGAAGTTTTTTGCGCAGGATGCCTTCGCGGACTTGGCGAAGCATTGACTACAAATGTCTTATGACTTATTACATGAACAATGTGATCAGAATGAACGATGTCGTGATGTTATGCGCAAATGCAGTGTATCACTGTGTGTAATTGTATAGGGTTCAGTTCTTTTGCCGCCATTCACAGCCAACGTTGCCAAGGGGGCGCGGGAAATCAAGGAAAGACGATTACGAAAAGTGGCGCAAGATTTTGACCCATAGAACTGGAGCCACGCACCAAAGGCATCGAAAGCCGGCACAGAGGGGCTGCCGCAGCGGCGTGGCGCGAGCGGGAGTTGGAGCTGGAGCGGCCACATAGTTTCGGGTGTGGGGATCGGTGGGATGGCTCGGAGCCAGGCACAGGCCAGCGTACGAGACGTGCAGACGGTGCCTCCGTCCCCACCTGTGCCTTCACAGCGCTCCTCACCCGGCCATGGTACAGTGGCATGAGTTCTGTTGCTCCGACCACTCCAGTTCACTGCCTCGCGCACCGGCCGAGGACGCTTCGAACAACTCTGTGACCAGCGCTCAGGTTGTGCCACGTCCCGTTTCCTTGACTTCCAGAACTCAGGTCCTTCCGCTTCAGCATGCTGTTGCTCGCGTATGTCGCGAAGCCATCAGAGGAGCGCGGACGCTGCGAGTTGCCGACATCAGCATCGATGCCACCGGCAGTGATTCGCGCTGCATCGAGTTCGTTGCCATGTGCAGTGGCTTGTCCTCCTTGTATAGCGCGGGACTCGACACAAACGGCGCCAGATGTACCATGCAAGGCGCCAGACGCGGCCAGCTCATCGTGATCAAAATACGCGGTGTGGCGTTTCCGGCGGCGCAGCTGCACTCGCAGGCGGTGCAGAGGTGGTCCGGCTGTTGCGATGCGTGCTGACGCGCGTTCCCTGCTTCCGCCTGACGGTGGGGCGTCTGTCGCGGGTGAGATGCCTGGCCTGCACAAAGTCCCGGCAAATGTGCAGGGCAGCCCCCCGTTGACACGCAGCCGCTTGCCGGCTCACTTCGCATGGTGCGTGATACACACGTTAGGTCGTGGAGCAGCTGCAGACGGAAAGCATAACAAACTTCGTCATTGAGCCGATCCACTACAACAACACAAAACCGATACTATGAAGTATGATATACTGATTGCATATCGCGACGCCGCGCAGTGGCTCGACGACTTGGATTTGGTAGTGTTTCGACATGTTTCGATGCTGTTCTGGCGACTCTGCAATCTATGCTCCGATTCGTCTGAGGGCCGTGTTGGCAGCCCTGGAAAGCAACCGTGGCCGCACCACCGACCCTGGCAGCTACGAGGCTCCGGCGGCTTCGGCCGCAGCAGCCTGTGCTCGGGTAATGCACAGCTGAAGCTGGGCGCTGCCACCCACGGCGGGGTCGTGTTCGAGGCTTTGAGCGAAGGCTCGGTCTCCTCACTTGCTTGGATGCCTTGTTGCATGCCGATGCTGCTTCCCGTTTGCCAGCTTTGGCTGCCACACGTGCCCAACTCGCGATGCGCCACGGTAGACTTCGACTTCGCAGCGCCGAGCGGGACACGGTGTATGCGTCGTCCAGGATAGTCGAGGCTTGCTCGTCCGGGCGCAGGTGCAAACGCCAAAGCGAATAATGCCGGCATGAGCGGGTCACCCGGTTCAACGCCTTCAGCAGGAGGCCAGTGCATTTGATGATGATGTCTGAACAGAGCAATCACGAGTCGAAAAGGGGTGAAGACTGGTTGGTGATGTGGCGCGCCATGGGGTAGCCGCCCGGACGTGCAGAGGCTCGCGGGCGTACCAAAGGTGCACGAACGGCAACAGTGCTGAAACTTGCGGCGCCTCGCGCAATGCAAACAACATGGCCTCCCGGCATTTCCAGGCTGACCGTGTCATAAGTTGCCGACATGTCAACGGACATAGCCATGAGGTGAGGGTCGGCTTGTGGCCGTGCTTGCCCACACGTTGGTCTGGGTCGCAGTCTCATGCCCCACTGCTTTCCCAGGCCGGGCCATACTCAGGCCGTGTGTCCCCTCCAAACGACGTCGCAGTCACCGGCGTGCACTTCCAGCTGGACGGAAGCAACAACTAGCAGTCAGCCTTCAAGAAGAGGAGGACATGTCTTATGTGCAAAAGGAAGGCATATTCCGTGACAGCTGTTTTCTCGTTGCAAATCCCTCCGAAGTCGTTTTCGCTAGCAGCTCTCGAGACCAGCGCATCATGATCTGTACGTGGGCTGTTATCGCAGTCTGCCCATCAACTGGCAAGGTCTTGGGCAAGATTTCCGGACCCCTCCCAGGTAGACTCCAGACGGCTTCTAGGGCTGAGGGCTGGGCTTTGTTCATTCTTCTTCGCTGTGTCCAGGGAGAGGTTCAGTGCGTGACCGACAGCCTGCTGTCCGTAGGTTTCGCAAATTAAGACGCTTGAATGGCAAAGCCATCCGCCGTTTTGCAAACCCGGATTTGTGGCTTGGAGTTCGCCAAGCGGCTCAGCACAAACGTATCCAGCTCTATTGGATACGGTCTCATCAACAGGCCCCGTCGGAAACCAGCTTACCCCAGTGGGTCTTTGAGGCCAACAAACTGGCTGACGAAGTTGCTGAGGCCGCCAGTCGCGATATCGAGGCCAAACTTGAGCATAGACTTGCTAGTTTGCGGCGGTAGGCTCTGCCAGGCTTGTGGTCTGAGGGTGTCTTTCCGTTGGCCTCGCAGTAAGTTGCTCGAAGTTGCAGCCTTACCTTGTCTTCGCACAGGCCACGATCTCAGATTGTTTGGCGTTCACATTTCCCACGACATGCACAGGGCTGCCGTAGGTTGGAAGTGCAAGGGTTGCGGGGGTTCGCTTGCGATTCATCATTGTTTAAGCGGCCTTTCACACCGATGGCGGCTAGGATGCACGTGAGGTCTTTTTCAATTTGCTTTAGCTATAGCGGAGTGATTGTTGAGGAAAAAAGTCCTGTTGCTTCGTCGGCTGCGTTTGCCACTGGTGCTTTGCCCCCTCAAATGCTGTTGCGGTCGAAGCCCGGGCCCTCAGGGTGACCACTTGAACCGCTGGTGTCACCTCAGGCACGCTACCGCTGGAGCATGCCCTTGCCCGCATCTGCCGCATAGCCGGAGGCCGTGTCGCACGCAATGTTCTCGTCGCAGCCATGAAAATTCATAGAACATTGATGTGCGCTCAGCGACGCAAAAGTGTGCATTGGCTTCCCTTTGAGGCATAGCCGCTTTCGGGCGAAGGCTTGCCGTGACTGCCTGGGGTTGCGAATGCCCGAGCAGTGCTACACAACCACCGGCAGACTCACCCCGAGCCGCTTCCGGGATCTTCCGCGTTGTCGTCTCCGGCATGGACATTAGAGGACGCTGGCCGATGCAGGCGCTGTGCCGCACGAAGCAATGCGGCCACTCCGTCTCGTGACGCATGCAGGCCTGGCATGACTTGGCTAACGGGGAGTGGCGCACGCAAGCGGCGGTGTAGCACGAACTGCATGGCTTGCGGTGCGCGTGTGGTGGCCGTCGCAGCTTGTATGGCGATGAGCTCTGACCTCGCACGAGGTCCCGATTGCGTGTGCACCTAGGCCCGGGAAGTGCCCCCGGGCGCTTGGCGTCATAGCTGGCAGTAGCGCGCGGCACAAGTGTTGGTCGCGATTCGCCGGGCTGCCCAAGATTGGACGACGTCTTGCTTGCCCATTGGCATGCCAAGTACCACGACACCAAGCCGTTCACTGGCGGCTCCAATCGCCTTGTTTTTGTTCTTGTTTTGTCCAGGTTTGCACAGGTTGGATGCGATACCACAGTGCCTCAGCGCGGAGAGTGGACCCAGTTGCTAGCAGCCGCGCGGCCACGCCGGCGTCCTGAATCGCCGCCCGAGCTCGACTCCAAGGTTTTAGCGGAGCGCCGCCAAGGCAAACCCGGAACCGAGGCGCTCGCCCGCGCCCTGGCGGTCAGCTGCGAGATGTTGCGAGCTGAGTCCGAGTACAACGGTTGTCAGCGTTCACGGTGTTGGTGCGTACGACCACATAGCCAGGGCGGCAATGTTTGAAGGCCTCCGCCGGGATGCTCGCTTGGCTTCGTTGATACCCTTTGTCCGTCAATTCTACGGCCGCGAAAGCACGTGCCTGTTTTACCACCAACAGGGACAAGCACACGAGGTGGGAGTAGCCCAGGCGGAAGGGGGGCAACAAGGTGACCCCTGATGCCGGGCTTAGATTCGCCGTGGGCATCCACCCGGCCCTCCTCGCGGCGCATGCCGACCTCGGGCCGCGTGCAGAACTCTATGCTTTCTTGGATGATACGTATGTCTCGTGCGACCCGACGGACGCGTGCGCAGCGTTTGTCGCCTTGCGCAGGCAGCTCAAGCGTCACGCCAACATCAATGTGCATCTGGGCAAAACGCGCGTTTGCAACTCTACAGAGGCGAGCAACCCCCAAGCCTTGCTGAAGTGCTCCCGACGGCGCCGGGACACCGGCGGTCGGGTAAGCTGCAGGGCCCGATAGGCAGGGGTAGCCGCAACCTTCTGAGCAACAGCACGCGAAAGCAAGAGCTCGAAAGTCTCAACTCCGGAGCCGTGGGCGTGAGCCACCGGGGCCTGCTTGGGACAACGTCAACCCGCGCGAAGCCGGGTCAAGGTCAGAGAAAAAAGACTCGCGCAGGCGGATGCGTCCAAGCGGGCCGCGGCGGCTCGTTGCCACCCTCGCAGCAGCTCTCCAGGGGTGCGTTCAACCATCCGGACGCCCGCAAATTTGGTCCACGGCGGCAGCGCAAAACCTGCATCCTGTAGCTGCAGCGCAGCGGTCGCTAGTTCGGCCAGGCTTCGCGCTGCCTTGTCAGTCCCGCCAACGTTGAGCGACTGCACACGGCAGGTAATCTCCGCCACAACTCTCGGATGACGCTGTCGTAGGGTTGGCAAGGTGTCTGCCGAGGATGCCCAGTAAGCTGCACTGCGGCCTTCCGTAGCCCGGCGCAGTCCTAAGCCCTCGAGTTTCAGGGGTACATCGTTGGCCAGGAGGTCGGCCAGGCAGCGTGCGATTCGCTTCCAAACGGCACGCCCAGTACGAGGAAGCCTTGTTGTACAGGTGAAGTGGTCACCGACCCGTACGGGCGCCTCCCAAGCTTGTTATGCTGGGCCTGGAGGTTGGCGGCAGGTTCAGCCGAGAGGCTGCTGCCTTCTTGCGACAACTGGCAAAAGCTCGCGCCCGTGAGTCGCCAGCGAGGTTACGCCCGGCCGTACAACGGGCCTCGTTGCACCGTTGGACGGGCATTCTGGCGGTGGCGGCCCAACGTGCGCTGGCCCACTCTTTGCTCGAGTTGCCGCTGGAGGGAGCGGACATGAGCGGACGAGTGCGACGGTGCCGAGCCGCCCCTGGGCGACCTGTTGGCGGATGCTCGTGATGCGGAGGCCGTGCCCTTGAGCCGCCTCCCCGCCGCGTGATTTACGCCCTGCTGGAGGGCGGCGTGTGGGCTTCCCGACGTCTTGGTGTCACGTAGGACTGGAGCGCTCCGACTGTCCGCAGATGGAAAAAGGTGTGTGTAAAAGAAAAACAACCCCGTGCCAGGCACGTACTCACGGCGGCCGAGCTAGCCCCGGGCACAGATGCTGACCGATCCAGCTACGCGCCCGCCCCAGGCTCGCGAGGCACCCCCGCAACACTGCTGCAGTACCCCGCCTGAGCAACTTGTCCGCCTCTCTCCGCGCGCAGTTGCCGCCGCGCTCCGGGAGACTCGCCGAGGCGGGGCACCCGGGCTTTGCGGAATGAGGGCCGGGCACCTCAAACCTTGCCTCAAACTGTTTCTGCAGGACACAGAGGCACTGGACTTGCTCACCGAAGCGGCGACGTGCCTTGCGCAAGCTGATGTCACTGCAGATATCGTCGTTGGATTGAACCCGATGGAGGCGCACGGGGCATTGCCACAGGCGACGTTTTTCGCCGCTTAGTGTCGAGGACGCTCGCCAAAGAGTGGGCTCACACTTTTTTTTTCAACCGAGCGACAGGCCCGTACCAGTTCGCGCTTCAGGCCTGAGCAGGCACGGACGCCCTAGCAGCCTGCGCACGCGCCGCACTGTCCCTCCGCTCCGATGCCGTGCTTGTGTCGCTCGATGGTCGCAGTGCGTACGACTCTATGTCCCGCACAGCTTTCCTGACCAAGCTGCACGAGGTTGCACCGCAGCTGCTCCGGTTTGTTAGGCTGTTCTGAGGCCAAACCCGCTTTTGTGCAAGCAGGGCCCCCACCCCCTGGCATATCGGAGCCGGGCGATGCCAACAAGCCGATCAAGCCGCCGGCCGAGAGAGGCGTCGTCGTCCTGGCTGGAACGCGGATGCGCATGAGCTCTTGCGGCAGCTCGTTCACGTCCGAGTCCCCGCGCGCCGCCAGCCGTGCGCGCGGCTACCTCGCGTGCCTGGGCACGACGGTGGTGGGGGATGCTATCGATCGCGGTGCAGCACGCGGTCGGGGGAAGGCGCTGGGCGCCGCCTGGTTTTTTCCCCGCAGCGCCACAGACTGGCAGCCTGCCCTCGAGCACGTCCTCGCGCTTGCGGAGCCGGGCGGGCCGAGTCGCCTCCCGCTCCGGTGAGCGGGAGGGTTCACCGTACCTTGGAAACTTTTTGCTGCGGAAAAAAACCGTTCGCGCCGGCACGGTCGTTTTCGCAGCATATGTCCGAACGGCACTGGATCTGCGCGAGGACACACGGCAGCGCCCTGGCGCGGCCGTCCAGGCCGCCGCGCGCCGCAAGTGCGCCAAACGTACCCCGAGCTCGCTACCGCGCGACGGGCCCGTCTCGTCGTTTTCGGGGTCGAGGTCGGCGGGCGCTTCGGTGCTGAAGCTGCCTCCTTCCTCCGTCACCTTGCCCGGCACCGTGCGGCCAGCCTTCCACCATCTTCCACCCCTCCTCCGAGCTGCTGCTTGTGCAGGCTGGGTCCAACGTTGGTCCGGCCTCCTTGCGGTCGCTGCCATGCGTGCCTTTGCTGCGTCCCTCCTCGAGCTGCCTGGTGGTGACGTTTGCGATGCGGGTGCGGCGCCTGACCTCCACGAAATCCTCGCCGAGGTCAAGGGGGTTTAGCGAAGTTAGGCTAAGGGGTTAGCAACCTGGAAACTAAGTATATCAATGGTGAAATTTATGGTTATGTAATAACAGAACATGAAGATTTGAGAAGTGAAATCTCAAAACTGTTTTCGGTAATTTGCGAGTTAAAAGCAAAGAAAACAAAAGTCTACAGCACAAAAATCAAAGAATTAACAAAGCGAGAATACAGATCTCAGAAGGTTGAAAATTAGAATCAACCCAACTAGCTGTTCGAGAAGCAAACAAGCATGCAGCTCAACTGGCTCCAGCAAAAGCATGCCTGCCTGCAAAAGTACCGTCCAAATCCCATTCGTCGTCTGCGAGATGCATGACATGGAGTATTGTTTTGTTGCATGCATGCATGGCAGCATGTCACGGAGCATTGCATGCTGCATGCATGCCATGCACATGGAGCCTGCTCGAAGGCTTGCATGAGGCTTGCCATGAAGCATTGCATGCTGCATGCATGCCATGCACAATCGAGCATGGAGGCATTCTTGCTACAATCCTGCTGCATGCATGGCATGCATCATGGAGCACGATCGCATGCATGATGCATGTCCATGGAGCACTGCATGCTGCATGCACTGCATGCTGCATGCATGACATGGAGCATGCATGGCATGCATGGAGCATTGCATGCTGCACATGGAACATGAAGGCTTGCATGATGCTTGTCAATGGAGCCTTGCATGCTGCATGCATGCCATGTGTACGAAGCATGAAGGCATGCATGATGCATGTCGTGCATGCATGCTATGCACAACATCGGACATGAATGCATACGTACTACAATCATGCTGCATGCATGCAAGAATAAACACAGATCGTGGAGCTTCAGTTGCATGCATATATAAGTATGGCTGCTGCGATTTTCTTGCCGGCAACATCTTCAAGCCATGCTGTTGCACAGGTGGCGGGGTAGCAGGGTGGTGAGAATGCCTGCAATTTGGTATTGTAAACTACACTGCACAGGAAAGCATCAACCTGCATGATGGATAGGGCTTCACCTGCAATCCTCCACTTGGCCACTTGCTTCACTGCATCATGGGAAACATACTCGCATCTGGACACAACACCTGCAACATAGCCGTCCACTTCGATAAGCCATTGGAGTCGGCCACAGCAAAAGGGGATGGGTGATTCATTGTCGGCAGCTGCATGGTGCAAAACAACATCACCGGTATGCAAGACAGCACCAGAAGCTAGCCGGCACTCTTTGCTGCAGTTGCAGGAATCACACAAATTTGTGTTTTCGCTCCAGTGTCCAGCATGCTGGCATGCATCGAAATCGTGACAGACATGCCTCAAAATGTAAACACCAATGAAACTTCGGAGCCATCTGGTCTCCCCACCCGGCGGCGACGGTGAGGGACAATGCTCGCTCGACAGTCTGCAACAAAAGGCCTGCTGGAGGCAGTTGTAATGTACAAGCTATCAAGATGGCCAAGACTTCCAACCAAGACAAGCAAGCTTCCTTTGCAAGAGTGTCATCCGGGCTGGGGCAGCAGGTATGCAAAAAATATTCTAAAGGCTTTGAAATTGCTAAAAACTCAGAGGCTGAGCATTTGATGTAATTTGCCTTCCTGTGTGCCTTCATCTTCTCCTGGCTGAACAGCTTGTGCAGTGCCGCTGCTTTCTGGGCTTTCGGCCATTGCCAGAGTTGCAAGTAGTCATGAAAGGTAGCAGCTTTTCCAGTGGCTTCCAGCACCCACAGGATTATGCAGTTGAGGACTCCCATGCTGCATAAAGAATGCATCCAATCAAAGCAATATTGCGAAGCCGGCCGCAATACATTCAGACTTTGTAGAACAGTGCTCATCATCAGGGCATGCGGCGAGAAAGACCACCCACAAGCCTGTTGCCACTGTTGGAACTTGCTTTTGGACTCTGTCCGGTGTCTTGATTCCATTCGTTCCCACGATTCCAAGAGCTCATCGTCTGTAGCTTGATGGCATGCATCCCATGTCAAATGTTTTGCCGATATCTTGACATCATCCTCAGAGCTTTTTGACCGTAGGGAAAAGATGTTCTTACAAAGCATGCAAACTCTCGAACCGGAATCTTGCCGGTTCGAGTATGTGTGTTTCTGTGCACTTCCGTCCTGAAGTGTCATAGCAAGTGTAAAGAATAGTCTGATGCTTTTGCTCGGCCCCTTCAATGCCAAGCCATGCTCTGGATTTCCGAACTCGTTGGCAAACATGGACTCAAGCAGCAACCTCAAACATTGGCCTATACCAGCCGACACCTTCTGCACCAGTTCGGTTCTGACCACCATCAGTGTAAACCAATGATGCTCGTTCGAAAGCAACTTCGGTGACAGCTCCAGAAACGAGAAATACACCGCCCAGACTTTTCGCCCTTGGGAGGACAACTGATTGCCCGGGTGTACTTCATCGAAATAAAGGACCCCCCGCCAGGGGGATCCTATGCTGGATGGTGATGCTTCGTGCACATGATTCAACATTTGGTAAAAATAACCACCTGCTGCATACATGCCCTGAATAAGACTCGCCAGGTTGATGCATGGTATGTTAAGGTCTGCACCGGCCAGTGACTTCGCCGGAAGTTGTTGCACAAGGGCCCCATAGGCAGTGCAACTTGCAATGGCCTGTTTCACTGCTTGCTTCATGTCATGCCTCGAATGCTTTTCTGGAATTCCTTCCTTTTCGACCAAACTCAAGATGCAACTCAAAGCTGAGCAAGTAACAAAAGGCAACTGCCTTCTGAACCCATCCAATCTCTGTAGTTTGGCCGAGCGAGAGCTTTCTGCTTCGTGCCCCCGCTGTTGCTTCTTTCTAGGTGCCGAAGATGTCGATGCAGCTTCCATCTTGCTTCGAAACAATGCACAAAGAATGCTTCATGCACTCTTTGTGTATACAGTTCTGTCTATGATGAAGGTATAATATATGTCTCTATATATGTGCATGCATGTGTAAGCTTGTGTGTGTGTATGCATTTACAAATATACGTGTATGTATATATGTATGCATGCATGGAAGTATATATGGATATGTATGTACATAAATGTATCTATATGTATATAGACCTGCAGATTGTATGTATGTATGTCTGATGTATGTATGTGCATGCATGTATGCATGTATGCATGTATGTTCAAGTATATATGCTGCAACGAAGGAACCTGTATGTATATACCTATATGGGTAAGTATGCTTGCATATACATATGCATATAGACACACGAACACACGAAAGCGCTTTCATATATGCAGTACAGAGGGTTGCATACCTTTCACATGCAAGTTACTCTTACAAAAACTTCGGGGCAAATGTACCTTACAAACACTCATAGTCTGAAAAGAACCTACGTAACATTGTATAAACCGCAAACACTGAACCGTAATACTAAAAAATCCTTACAGATAGACTTTATAGTCTTCCTTGTGCCCGATTGCACATGCATGCACGGCCTGAACTGATATAGCCATGCACGGACATGCTCATGTAGCATCTGAAGGCAACATGCAGACATGGCAACACAAGCTGCAAGCATTCATGTTTGCCTCGCATTGCAAAAGTCCCCGGCACGATCATGTCATTCCTGACTTCGCAGCATGCATGTATGTGCACACCCTTGCCCCATGAGTGGATCAACTGTACGATCACTCCAAGCTGCATGCAGTTTCTGCAAGCAAGCTAAAACAACAATCTAGCAAAGCTTTCGCTTTTGCTGGTGCATATATGCCTTCCAAGCTTCTCTACCAACCAACCTCATCCCCGCAAAGTTCGGGTTCTCGCAAACATCACAGCCGCTACCTCGGCATCGCTTGCAACCGTAGCCCTCTGCAGCTTTCTTAGCAGCAGGCTTTTTCATCACTTTCTTCGCCTTCGTCTGATGCTTGTCCTTGTCGCCGGTGGTCTGCTTCTTCATGGGATTGTTCTTTTTGCCGGTGCCCTGCTTCTTCATGGGATTCTTGTTCTTTTTGCCGGTGCCCTGCTTCTTCATGGGATTCTTGTCCTTTTGGCCGGTGCCCTGCTTGTTGGAATTCCTCCCATTTTTGGTCTTCTCTTCAACCTCGATCATTGCCTGCTTCTCGTACTCCTCCAACGACAAGTTACCCGAGCCCGCTGCATGCCCCTTCTGCTGCAAAGCAGGCGGGTCCTGCACTCCCGGTGACGGGTGCTGCTGCTGCTGCTGCTGCTGCTCTGCAGCTGCAGACGGCTGGTTCGTTAGTGGCAAAGCTAGCTGCTTGCTTACATCCTCCTTAGACAAGCCCTGCATGCCGTCGCCTGGCCCATGGTTGCCATCCTTCACATGGTCAAAGAAAGTGATCTTGGCACCACTGCTCGAGCTTTCTTTGCCACCCTGCAGGGCGGCCTGCCAGTTGCCACCCAACAAGCTTTTGAACAACTCGAGGAGTCGGTCCTCAACCTTGTCCACCAAGGGTTGAAGCTTCTTTTTCGAGCAACTGGAAAGGAGCTTGCTGGTGGATCGCATCGGGCACTGGGCTCCTAGCTCGAAAAGCTGTGGGAGATCTACCATCGAA